TTCTGAAAAGATCAGCATTAATATTGAAATATATTCTAATTTTGCAATTGCTGACGCTACATTATATTTTATTAATTTTATACTTACTACTAACACTGATTTTAAAACGTGGACAGAATGAAAGCTAATTAATTTCTTACTGTAACTATAACCAAAATCGCTCAAATGCAAACGGGCTACTGAATGTTAGCACCTTGTCAATCTACGCATGTTAGTCATGCAAAATACGCCTATTTAAGCAGTTAATTGAACTTTATACCAGCACGAGTCATAAAATTCTTTAGCCAAAAAAGGGGCGAAAGCGGTTCAGAAAGTACTATCGTACGTGCCCTCTGTTCCGCCTGCACAAAATTTTTACAAAGTTCATTCTGCAAGGCTTTGGTCACCAATCATATGATCAATGTACAAAAAAGCAAACTTATTTTAGACACTACTACAATGTGACTTCAAGCAATAGAACAGCGTTAAAAGTGAAAGAATTTATTTTCTGAAAGTACGTACAGAAGTTATGAGAGTGGTTGCTGTCTCTTCCGAAGACATCTCAAGCGGATCGAGGTACTTGTATAAATATGAATTTCGTGCAGTGAGTTACGATGACCATTCGTCCAATCGGTTGGCGGATGCAGATGCATCAGACATCATTCTAAAATTCTCAGTCCTGTTTCACCACTTGGGTTACGTCAGAAGATGACCCGATCTTGAGTCCTTCGGGACACTTAAAAAACGTTATTCAACGTTATTCTTAGCGTCCCAGGGGTTCAGAGGTTTTCAGTCGGTCGTTTTGGCATGTAGACCTTTCGTTCTGGAAGCAATGACCAGACATATCCAAACCATCTCATATGATTTCTCACTCTAAAAAAGCAGTGGCTGTACACAAAACTATTGTGAGAATCTGTATTCCGTACATGGTCGAGAAGCGTAGCCCAGCGATTCGTCTCAAGAAGCTCAGATCAACCTTCTTTACCGCAATGGCTGTCGGCTAATCGTCACAGGTGTGGGATGAAGCTTGACATGAAGAGGACACCATATTCTTCGGATCAGCTCTGCCTGAGTCACAACGGCTCGAGTTAGTTCATTGAGAACGCCGCTTCCTATTAAAAGTCGCCGATCGATTTCTTTCTCCCATTTGAAATTATCGGTAGGCATGAACAAGAGCTACGTAACTTTCTGCACTTGCTCCATTGCTTCTCCGCTTAGATGCAGAGCGCAGCAGGCGGGCGAAAGAGAAAGTAGTAGGCCTATCGTTTAGACACGCTCACACCCATTTCAGTTATCTCGCGATAGTCTGCAAAACATTCTAGATAGCGCTAAAAATCTGTCTTGTAAGATGCCAACAAAACGAGAACGTTTGCAAATATCAGACTTCTCATCTTCACATATCCTACGCTGATACGTTCATCATCCTGGCACCGCCTGATTATCTTATCCACGTATAACACAAAGAGGAGAGGGGGCATCACGCCGCCTTGGCAGAGACCAGTGTCAACTTTGGAATGTCTCGACCATCCTTTACTCTTGTTAAACGCCTACTATTAAAACGATTGAATAGCTCTTAGTACATGGCTATCGATCCCATACGTTTGCAAATGCGCCAACAGCTTCTTGCGCAGAATCCGATCATAAGTTTATTCAAAATCGTCGAAGCACATGTTTGCCCGGTGAGCAAATTCCTAGGGTTTTTAACAAATTGACGTTGGACAGGATCTAGCTAGATATGCTTTCGCTTCACCTGGCCACAGTGCCCTGTTTGTGTTTCAGAGTCAATCGATCAGAGGCAACTAAATTGCAACACTTTTCCTTAACATTTGTTTGGGAGGCACAATAAAGTAATGCGCTGATGATTGGAATTGGAGGACTCCCCTGTTTTCCAATATACTGAGATCTTACTTTTAGCCATTGCAGTTTGCCGGACACGTGCTACTCACAACATGGCATTGCTCGCTCAAAGTTTTATTATACATCTCACTGCGCATCTCACTGCGAATTTCCGAAGCCTTGCCACTTTTCAAGATTTCATATTTCATACATCGTTTATTGAAATAAATACGCATTCTATTGTGATTTATATCTCAAATAATTTATAGACCGACACATGAGTGCGTGGCCACTGTCAATTCTTTACCTAGATCAGCAATGATCCTGCATGTCATTGTGGTGAACCATCTGTAGAAGAACACAGGTTGATAACTGGTACTCCCATTTGAATGGTAAGCCTCATTGGAACCGGATTTTTGCTTTGGATTTCTGGGAAGGATGGCAATTTTCAAGTTGTACAAAGAGAAATTACTTTAATTTTAAAACACAACGCAACTCACAGTTTTGCCGTTCTTGGGCTGTTGGGAACGACTTGCTATTGGGTCAAGCCCGCAATCTGTACTTCTTCGAAAAGCTTGAAGAAACTACGTCAGCCTCAGCATCTATGCCAGGGATCCGGATTCAACAAGGTTTGTCATCTACTCGAGGCAACTAACTTTAATTGCTGAGCTATCAATGACGAAAATGAATTGCGTATGTTTAGGATTGTATTGCAAAGGAGAGCGGATAAACCATCTTCGATATTTTGGAAATCGCAGAAAATTTCTATAGCCTAAGTGAAATATTACCTGCTTTCAATGAATTAAGAAAGAACTTATCTTGTCCTCGGTCTTGCGAAAACTAAGTACATTACAAATGATGATATCTGCTTTCTGCAAGAGGACGAAGTTGCTGAACAAAACCATCAGCTTCGCATGCCTGGGACAGGAAATGAACATAATGAGCCACGTGGGAACTTTTTGATATAAGAAAGACTAGCTTGGTGACTGCAATCGTTCATTGGGCCTTAAAAATTCAGTATTCAGTATCTCGTACTGCCAACAATGTTGTATTGTAACAGGTTCATTGATTAAGCGAGCTGAAGAATGGTTCATTGTCACGCAACACCATGGAAAGCAAATTGCAGCTGTCAGTCGTCAAGTAAGACTGAATACCAAATGAACCGGTCGAAAACGTCTTGTTGGAAACAAGAAACTGTAAATAATTTTGAAGAACAGTTCTAATATTGCTTGTTGAAGAAGTAACACTCTTTCGGGACAAATTGCTACGGATTTTACGGAGTTGCAGCTCGCCAACTTCTTTCATTCCTTGGTTCCCTTCCATCTTTAGCAAAAATGGTCATCATATCGGAGGTGTGTCAACGACTACGGATAGTAAGAGGTGCATCAGGGATCGCGTAAGAAATTTCCCCTGAATATGGAGCTTATCACAGCATCAAAAAAACTCAGCAAAGCTGAAACACATCAAGAATGAGAGTAAGGCCAAGACAGCGTGGTGTGAACTATATCATAGGTGAACGCAGCACAATGTAATTGATACCACGGAATTTCGCAAGACCAGAAGTTGTGACGAATGGACACATCCCGCCATATATTCAGCTGATACAAGAAAAATGCTGATTTTGTGATTGATTTAATTTAAAATATCTTTCCGATAACGTCTGCTGAAAAATATAATTCTGCGGCGATTGTGCGTAATAGTAATTTAATAATAACTTTAGACTTTCATCTCACTACAACTCTATGCTGACTATTTATTTTGTGTCTTAGAACGCGTACAAAAACATGTACTTCATATTCTGGTCGCAAATTGCGGTTAAATAAGAAATATTTCATGAGCGGAACGTCCTGGTTGCCTCGCTTTAATGAAAGTTTCGTGGCATTCCAAATTTCGCTTTCTTTTGATCTAGGTAGAGGTGAGGTACAATTATAGCGTCAAGGCAGAACAGATTGTTGGTTACCCCAGTGCTGCAGAAACGTTGTTTATTTAGGTTATCTCACGCCTCACGTTCAGCAGTAGACTTAACGACTTTTTCTCTACAACCGAATGTGTGACCTTATTGACTTCCAGTTACGAATATTCCATGTTCTTACTATATGGACTCAAACAGCATGATCTGCAGATTGACCACACTTAAATGCATCGTAAAAGTGTAAAATTCGATAGTAAACAAACGTAATCGTCTTTAGCTGTTCGAAAATGAAACCTGATTCTTTCATGATTTGTACAGCATGAGATTGGTAGCAACGAAAACAGTAAATGGAGGGGATTCGTTGAATTAATGATAATTGGTGGCAAAATTTTCAACAACGTCTTTCAGTGCAATTTTCAAGGCAACGAACTAAATATTATTTTCTTTTCTTAGCATGATCCCTCGTTGAGGAGCATGATAGTGGCGCAGTTGGTTAGCCCGCTGCTTTGTACACTAAAATACGGGTTCGAACTCATCGCTCGGAGTTAATTTTCCCTTAATAACTGCAAATTCCAAAAAATTCACCCCCTTGTGCTTCGATGCAACCGGCCGAAGAAAGGATAGCAGGTTGCTGACTAGCGAATAACAGGGACAGCACTGTGCTTCGGTGTTGTCATCCCAAAGCTTCAGAGACATGCGACCGTGCTTTGCTGTCGGATGAGGGCGTTTGACGACGGCAATCAACTCACTTTAAAGCACGTGATAGCTGACTAATGATCAGCGAAGCTGTAAACATAAATTCAAATAAAAAAATTGATTTGATTTCAAAAATTCTGCGTCGTGTGGAATTGCCATTTGTTAATAACCCATGAACTCACTTTTGTCATTCAAAGGATTGATTACACGACGAAAACTAGTTTACTTTACATTCATCGAGGATTGGTACGAATGAGGCCATAAATCCTGAAGCCATTGTAACAAACTTAGAGTTCTTTAAGACTGAGTCTTACTC